ACGATCTTCCCCTAAGCCCGATCGCAATAAAATCGATCCCGGCCAATCGAACCGTTTTAATTGAGCCCGATCGCGCGCTTCCATCGCGAACCAGCCAAGATGCACGACGCCGGATAGTCCCTGGGCCCGCGTATCTAGCATTCGAGCACTCCGAACGACTTCCCATACGACTCCATAAAATCGAGGAATTCGAGAAAAAAAGACGATTTAATCGCTCGAGCGCACGGTATCAAGATTCGCGTCGTTTTTGTCGTCGATGCGAGCCGGCGATTTAAAGACGATGCCAAGAGAGAAAATTACATTGGATTTTTCAGTCTCCTGTATTAACACTTTTAGTGCACAACGAGTATTGTGAGAGAATTTTATTTCAAAATGAATTTATAAAACCATATGAATGGTTCAATTTTGTTTCATAAAATGCTGAGTGAGATGTTCCATATATTGGCAAAATTGTTTGTAGGTTTGACTGTTTATTATAATCCACGATGATCGATACTGAGATACGATAGAATTTTGATACAGGGGATTTGCATGAAACCGTAATAATAGGTTTCAAATACAAGAAGTACTACTAAAATTGATCTTGTTACAAGTAAAAGACATATATTGAAACGATTGTTTATGGGTTTAATTTTAAATAATTTAATACTGGGTATTTGCTTCAAACCATAATAATAGGTTCTAAATACAATGTTCCCTCAAAAAGTGGAAAATACTGATGCATGTCTAACGTTTATTCATTCTATAGATTCTAATACTGTAATCCCTCGTTAACGTTCGCTGGTTGGGAACGTTATCGAGGGAGGTACTACTAAATTGATCTTACTACAAGAAAAAATGGGAAATACGTCCAACGTAATATGTCCAACGTAGTTCATTCTACAGAAATCAAAGTACACAACTTTTTCACAAATTTTACAATAAGATATTCTACAAAAAGACAAATAGTCTGAGAATCGAGGACGTTTACCGTGGGGCGTGTAACGCAAGAAACAGAAGGTGGTTCGTGGAAACGTAACGAACGCGCGACCCTTTCTTTTCGCCCTTTAATCCGGCATCTCTCTCGCGCGTCCGATTAATCTACGGGCGTGCGGTTAATCGTTTAACCGGCGCTCGATAGAGCAGTTTCTAATTAGCGGAATGGAATGGAGGAGGCGTGATCGGATCGTCGACGAGGGAAATCTGTTGCTGGCCGAGGTCGTCCTCGGCGAAGGGACGACGATCGCTTGTGTTGCACAAGACAGAAAACGATGGGAAGGGGGAGGTTCACGCGAGAGAAACCGTAGAGAGAAAAAGAGAGACAGGTGGAGCCAAGTTGGCTCGTGCTCGCCACGGAGCAGAGGAGGAACGCGCCGGATGAAGGAGTCGAGAACCCGGGATGCTGCAAATTGAACCATTACGACTAGGTAGTAGTAGGTACGCGACCAAATCGACTGGAAGCGAGGCCGTAGAGCCTCCAGAGTCCCGCGGGTCGCCGGAGATAGTTACAATCTCGTCCTCCGAGAGCCCGAGAGACCGGCTGAAAGGGTTCTCCTTTCGCGGAAAGCCACGAACGCAAAAAACGCTTCGAACGAACGTCGAACCTGGGCACCCGACGATCGGTGTAAAAAAGAAAATCAAAGGGGAGGGGAAAAACAAGAGGTGGAAGAAAGGGTGCAGCTGGAAGACGAAGCGCTCCGGGGAGGCTGGTGGTGTTGCAAATCGGACCATCGTGACTAACTACGTCAGCAAATCATTTCCAACGTTCGGTCCCGAGGAAACGTGCTTGTAAATTTCTATTTTACGGGCTTCAACGTTCCCGAGAAACCCTAACGCGCTTCTACGTATATAAAGACGTACGGGAAGATATTTCTTTTAAGCGTACGTAGTTTCTACGAGCAAAGGGTAATGAGAACTTCTGGACCTTGCGAATGATTATACGCCTTATTATTCTCCTTCAAAAAGAGAAAGTTTTCTTTCATCTACAAAAACCATCGATGTTGCATTTCATTTTTCAAGACACAAGAGGGTGCAGCCGTATCAACGAATAGAACCGATTAGGTTTGTGAGTAGACGAATTTTTCGTCACTGACCTTTCTTCTGAACTGAACATATGTGTTCTTCCAAATAAAGACAAAATTTAGTTTAAAAAGAATTTGAACTGTATTATTTTTATTCCGCCACCTACCAATAATTCTGAACGTCCACTGCATACCCAGGAGTCTACAGAGTCTTAACGTCCAACGAGCTGTTTCTTATCATGGAAAAGCAAGCAACGCGAGTGTCTCGTGGAAATTACGGCAACGTGGACGAGTAAATTTCGACGATCCAGATAGCTATCCCGAGCGTTCGAGTGTAGATCGCGAGAGAAAAGAAAAGGTACCGGCAATAACGTCGAGCAATCGATGGATAAACTCCGGGCGGAGACGAGTCCGGGGAAACTCGACGGTTCCCCGGGTGACGTTGAGATTCCGGAATAGTTATGGCCTCGTCCCCGGGGTCCGTCTCTATAAGGAACAACTCGAACGTTCCGGGCGTTCGGCCATTAGGGGCACGTGAACGAGACACGCCTTTTATGAGTTTTCATTTTCACCGCTTATTGGAGTGTCGCGGAACGAGATACGACGCGGAAAGAACGCGATCCGTGGCCGTTGCGTGTGCCCGTTGCTTGGAAGAAAGCGTCGCCTCGAGCGGGAACGAGGTATAATTGCGAACGATCCGATGGCGGCCTCGTTAAACGAAAATCGCCTCGAGGAAGACCGGAAAGAAACGCGAGCTGTGCCCTTCCATCGGGCTGCAACGGACGCTCATAAATTCCTGCGGAGAGCGAGTAAAATTCTGGGTACGCGGGCGGGTGCCATATTCTAAATAGTGTATTTGTTCGATGAGGAGGGGTGGCCATTTTATCGATCTACGAAATTCAAATTATTTGGCTTCGCGATGTTAAGGAGTCTGTCTAGTGTGGAGATACTGTGTCTTTCGATCGACTGCTACATTTTAGATAGTCTTAGTCGATAGAAAGAAACCTGCACAGTGGAAAGGCCTCAAAACAGGCCCAATTCGAATTACTTGAGAACCATGTGAATTAAATTTTAGATAGTCTTGGTCGATAGAAAGAAACCTCCCCAGTGGAAAGGCCTCAAACAGGCCCAATTTGAATTACTTGAGAACCATGCAAATTAAATTTTAGATAGTCTTAGTCGATAGAAAGATACAGTATCTCCACAGTGGAATGGCCCCAAACAAACCCAACCCTAACAGACCCAGAATAATTCAAAAACCATTTAAATTAAATTTTAGATAGTCTTAGTCGATAGAAGGGTACAGTATTTCCACAGTGGAAAGACCCAAAACAGCCCCCAACCCTAACAGACCCAACCAGAATAATTCGAAAACCATTTAAATTAAATTTTAGATAGTCTTAGTCGATAGAAAGGTACAGTATTTCCACAGTGAAGAGGTCCCAAACAGTCCCAAACCGAATAACTTGAAAACCATCTCCATTGAATTTTGTAGACTGATGAAATGTGTGAAACAGGTATTGAAACATATGAATATTGTAAAATGCAAGATACGGGTCTAAAAAGGCCCAACGATCCCCATTAGGGTAACTATTTCAACGACAAGACAAAATTGTACAAAAAGTCGATAGAAAGACACAATTCGCTGATAGTGAAAAGGCCCCAAAGAGGCCCAACTCGAATAACTCGAACCCCATCTAAATTGAATTCCGTAGACTGTTAAAACAGCAACCTATCGACAAAATGACAGACACCTAGTGTTCACAATTCATCGGTATTCCGAACAAAAGCATAATTGCGTTCGTACAACTCGCCGAGACGTCCGTAGTTCTCATCGAACTATAAAATGGTTGCGTTAGGAGCCGGCGGAGTCGAACGCGGTGCAAATGGTAGGCTGTCAGTGAGTCCCGTCGACGGGACGTTCATCGGTGAGAGCAGAAGCAAGAAGGTGGAAAACGTCGGGGGGCTTCTTTAACGGGAAAAGGCGCGCGACCGAAGGCACAGCGGCGTAAAAGACGGCAGGGGAGGGCGCGGAAGAAGCAAAAGAAGGTGGGGTCGCCATGGTTGTGGTCCGCCTGGGAACCGACAGGACCACGCATTGTGATCCGACGAGCGAGGAGGCCACGCTAGGCTGACCCTAGGCTTTACATTAACCATCTACCGTGCACACACGCACGTAAATGGCCACCACCCTTGCGCTTAAGTCGTACCTGTTGCACCGACTAATCAGTGCCCCGCGTACGTTCCTTTTGTCTTCCCTTCTTTCGTCCCTCTTTCGAGCCAGTGTCCATTCGCTGGGGCAAGGTTACGCAACGGGGCCCCGCGAAGACTTTCTTACGCCGGGTAAACAGAGTGGAACGTGGAACGCGGCTTCTTCGAAAAGGTTCCTCCGCCGTACAACCGCCGAAATGACGAACCGTCGCATTCCGGCTCGCGAAAAACCAGTTCAAGGAGACGCGTCGATCTTTTCAATCCCGTGAGAATTACGCGAAAACGCGACGCTCGGGGACGATAATGATCGCGGGGGAGGCTCGAGACGCTCGTCGCTGAATTTTGTGGGAAATTGTTGGACGAGACGCGCTGGGAATCGTTCAATTTTTAGATCTCTTCGACCTAACGAAATTTAGTGGATATAATTCGAGGGGGTATTTTAGGCACTATTTAATGGAAGAATTATCAAATTTAGAAATAATAATGTTACAGCAAAGAAAAATTACAAGAATACACTATTACATTTAATTGTAAACGTGTTTTTATGGAAACCATTTTTTCCAACAATTGAAAAAGAATCGAAACACTACTTTAACGCAATTTCGGTGCCCCCAACGGCGTATAATACTAGAAAGTTTTGCTGAAAGGGGTTACATATGGTTTCGTCGAGCAATCATTTCGTTATTTTGGATTTATTTCGAAGAGAATAATTGGCGCGTAAAAACTTGGACTTTCACATATTATTACCGACTGTTGAGATTAAGAGAAATAAAGATTGGAGACACTTACCTTCGGGACACTTGCATTCGTACTCCAGATTGCTCATCTGACGACACGTGCCTCCATTTTTACACGGCGATGGGTCGCAGGGAATATACGCGTTCTCGCAATTCTGGCCAGTGTATCCGCTCGGGCACATGCATCTGCAAAGGAAACGACTCGTTAAAATTGTCGGTTATAAGCGAGCAGATAGGAGGCCGATCGATTAAGCGGTGTGATGAAATTGCGATCGACGGAGGCGATAAATTATTAGTTAACGTTTGCGGTATCTTGCACGATCCGAGTGCTTTCGAGCGCTAATTACACACCGCCGTCTGTGGACTTTCGCGACTTCGTCGATAAAAATAATGGAGCCAGCCTCTTTTTTGGTAACAACGAAAGTGTAAACAAGTAGAATTATTGACAATTATTTCTCGCTACCTACACGATTTCTCGATGGAAAGATGGTGTATTTTATAGCGGGAACAAGCAATACTGAATATCTTCATTGATCGTTTCGACCATTTAATTATTGGTACTCTACAAGATATCACTCTGGAAATAATATTCAACGCAAAATTGAGAATAACCAAGTTCAAGTATAAAGTAAGAAATATGAAGGTATAAAGAATTTAAATTTTCAATAAAGAAAACTATTGTTCTAAAAAACTTTATAAAGTATTCATTATCGTTGTAATTGTAAAAGAAAATGTTCAACATAGAAGAATTTAAAAAAAGAATTCGAATGGTATCTTTTTCTAGAGAAAAGAGCGATGTTGAGGCTCGTTCAAGAATTTATGCATTATCGTTCCGAGTATTTCGAGAATCTGCGGCTCTGAGTCCTTGATAATTAATAGCTGACATTATTATTCAACGAACAAGTTCTTTCGTTAAAATGAAATCGTCGGTAATAAATTAGCTCGATCGCGAGAGAAATGGTGGGAATGAAAACATGTATTTTCTATAAAAATGAGAATTTTTAATTTACCCATTTTTTAACGTCTCGTGGATAAAGTCTGACAAGTCTACCAAAATGTAAATAAATACAGTTGTATGAATAGGATACGCGTTCTTTTGATTTAAAAAAATTACGAGTTATGTCACTCCCGTTGCAACCGAACGGTACAAGATGGCTGTCTATATTCCTAGATCGCTGGAAATCAAGAGCATCCACATAACGGACGGACAATGGGAAACATGAAGCATTTCGATCAATTTCTCACAGTCCTCCAGTTCGTTGACTGTCATCAAGGCAACGGGAGACCAGTGAACCACGTTATCCATCGAAACGATCAATATTTATAATACCGGTTTCTTGCACACCGTCGCTTTTTTGCTGCTAATATGACACTTTTTATTCGCATATTTATGCATATTGATCCAACGATAGGGCAAATGTACGAAACACGGGAATACCAATATCCATATATCAGTAGAAAGGTTATGGTTTTGATCAAACGCAATATCACGCGTCGAAAACGCCGCTCCGTAAACAACATTTTCAAATTCACGCGACTTTTTATCCAGAAAACACGTTCAATGATTTATTCGAAAAATGCATGATATTAACAGAACGAAACAACGTTCTAGAATCTCCAGTGCAACAGAAATGTTAGTCATACTGTAAAAAAAAGGGCAAATATTTATAAGGATAACAACGAAATTAACAATTTGTCTACAATAATTTAAACAAATTTTTCCACGAAAACAATCAAAGGTATTTATTTTGGAAAGCGCCATTTTAAATATAATGTTTTGCATTATTTAGACTATCGTTTGTCATAAATTTCTGTATCAAATTAATACGAAATTCTGGAGCATTTTCTAACACTAAAATTATTATTTTTGAAAATCGATTGAATTGTCAAACTATTTTGGCAAATAAAATGTAATAATACTTGTCCACTTTTTACATACCTGATTTAATTTGTTTCTGTATTTTAATTCCAAATAAACTCTAAACGCAATAACGCATAATATTATTTTGTGTAATAATTTTTGTTTATGCAAAACCACGACTGAAAAAAGACGATTTGAAAGGAGGCCTTAAGATTAAGTCGAAACGTTTAAATTGATTATATAAATTTCCCCTGCGCAGGACTGAAGATTCTAGAACGCTTATTATAATGAGCCAACGCGAAAGAATGCAACAGAACGTATAAAACACGGTAAAAAGAGCTAAACAGAAAGAAATAAGATAGCCTGTACGAAGTATCGCAATAAAATGCCGTGATTGCAGGAAGTTTAAAAAGAAAAAATGCACTCGTAAAAAAATAAATATATCGTATAAAAAAACAAAAAAAAAAAGTTACGACACGTAGACTTCGCGTAATTACAAATTCTTGTAATGGGATCTAAGGTAATTGGACTAAATAATTTACGTGTGCCGCGTGAAGGCCTCGGACGATAATTAACACCGATTAAACGCAAAATGCAAGCGCTGTTGATAGGACTATTAATAATCCCGAACAGAAAAATTAATTCGGCGAGGACAAAACGATCAGGGATAATCAGAACACGGAGACGATTCGGAATAAAAATGCAGTCATCGATTCCGACCGCGAGACGAACAGAATTTTATAGGAATAATGTTATAGATGAATAAAATAATCAATTAATTCGCAATATTTTCCAACAGAGTTGTTCGAACTATTATTCTTCAAAAGTGAAACGCAAATTGAACGTGTTATTCAGATTGTAATTTCGTTTGGTTCTTTATCCAATCGAGAATCGTGTTCGTATCCGCCACATAGTAATTAACCCCGAACCGTAAGGATTTATGGTAAACTCTTGTAACGTATTTATGTTAATTGTGAATAAAACGCACCTCGAGCTCGCTGCCAGCAGAAGTACCAAGAACACACGCGTGAGATACATTTTCGCACGAAATCGATTCCCTCGGGTCGCGGAAGAACGCTCTCCTCATATTTCGACAGGAACTCGCCGAGTGTTTACTCCATTTTCGAGAATCACAACTATCAAACCGACCGACTTCTATTTTACCGTTAACGATCACGAGCGAAATAAAACAGAACCACGATAATACACCTCACACTGACGTTCACACGGTACATGGGAATAAATTCACAAGTTCACAAGCCGGGCGAATTGCACTGGTTTTCGGTATCACAAAACTGAATTAGTCGTTGATGCAACGAGTATAACACAAATAACCGTACGACGAAAAATGGCGGCCTCGCCGGACGCTGGCCTTTTTCAGCCCGAATCCGTGGAGATTTATCACCGGTACGACGGTGTCACGGACGTATGGCGTTTTCCTTCCTGCGACGCGTACGACATCCTCGACGTATCCATCTTAAAAGTTCTCTCGTATTCCACGTTTCGCGCGACACGTCGAGGAGGAAACGTTGAACGCACCAGATTAATTGAAATTAATGTGCCGTTAAAAATTGGAACGATCGTCGGTCCATAACGTTCCGCGCGATCGCCTCGTGCATAATCGTTCCAACGTTCCACGGTCCTCGGAAAAAAACTTCAACGCGAAAACGTAACTATCGTGTATCGCGGACCATCGAACGGGGACACTGTCGCGAGAGGATCGTGATAGTCAAATAAACTATGCGAAGCGTGCAACAAAATAAACTATACGTCAACGTTCGGGGGAGAAAAGCAAACAGCGTTCACGGAACACAGAGAGCATGACGGTCGAGCGAACCAGCGTAAGTGTATATCTCCACAAGCCGTCCCTCGCCGCGGAGAGGAACGTACCCGCGCTCTTTTCTCACGCTCGTTCGCGTCGCTTTTCGTCGCGACGCCGTGGTTTTTCGCTTCGACGCCAGGAATCGTCCGACAGCGCACGTAACCAGAATCTGTCCGCGATCGTTCCAACGTCGATCCGTTCCGGGTGACAATACGCCGAGCGTACTTTAAACTCTCTTAAATTCGCTCAAATTGCCTCTATCCTGTGTTACGTCGAATCGCCGACGAGCTACCCATGACGGTTGACCGGAGGGGCACCAGACGTTGCCAAATCTCAGCCTCACCATCGAGCATCTGTCAAGGTGCGAACTTTCCAATGCATCCCAACGAATCTAACCTTATTCGTACGACACACCGTTTCCTCGCGGCGAACTTGTTCCCCGCCGTTACAACGAAGCACACGACGACGTCGAAACACGATGCACGATTATCGAAACCACGTAACGCCACGCTTGCCGGTGTCTTCTCGGCCACGCCGCCGCGAAAACCACGCGAAACCGATAATACGAAACTATTCAACGCGTAAAGTTCGTCGCAGTTGCTTTCGAAACACCGTCGAAACCACTGCAGAATGTCACCTCGCGTTGCCACCTGTTTTTCGCGCGTATTTTCCACGATCGGTGGTGGACCGAAAGGGTAATCGGCAGAGACGCGAACAGAACGTGTATCGTCCTCGGACGACTGGCGACAGACTAACCTTACCTTCTAGTCTGAGCCGTTCAGAGGGCGCCACCGTCAACAGTGACCCTCTCCGCCAGCGTCACAGTCGATTCCCCCCCGTTGGGCTGACGCGACTTCGTTTCCCGTCCCTTTTCGTCGCGTCCCTTTCTCGCTCGCGCTCGTTAACCATAGGCCCCTCGGCTCGTTCCGTCACCCATCGTTAGTCTTCGACTACGTATCGCGTCGTCCCGTTCTCGCCCGCGTAACTCGCGTAAGACTCTCTCGTTTCAGCTACCACCTAGGACCCTAGGTCGTAGAAACGATGCGGAATCATTGCGTGCATCTCGGGTCTCTGCCCCTATCCCTCCGCCTTCGTCGATAGTATGCAAGAATTTTGCTAATTCGATAGTTACACGATATTTCTTGCATGTATACACCGGGAGGGGACAAAATTTGTTACGCGTCTCCTACATTTTTGTCGCGACGCGCGCTAATTGTCCACGTTCCCGACGATGCGGAAGATCTCTGCTTTACGCTGAACAGTGATGCTCGTAAATGTTTGAGTAACGTTTCTAGATATGGTAAATCGACGTCTCACGATTGTATTCTCATCTTGACGTATCGATTGCATACGTGGGAGTCACTCGAGGCTCGAAAAATCTCGCTAATCCCTCCGTATGAATATTTATGCGTCGAGCAAACAGACCGGAGGCGTAAGCGTGCCAGAAGCACGAAGATTTCGATTAAATCGGTGTTGACCGGGCCGTTTAAGAGGATCGGACAA